CCAGGGCCTCCACCGCGCGCGCCAGCTCCGCCGCCAGCCTCTCCAGCTCCACCTGCGGACACACGCACGGACGCCGGGGGTTGGGGACCTGCCTTGCCTCCGTTTCCCCTCTGGGCATCCTCGGCTGGGATCACCTGGGTACCTCAGTTTCCCCCCTGAACACCTTCTAAATGGGATTGGGCTACCTGCCTCCATTTCCCCCCCAGACACTGTGTGTGTGTGTGCGCACGTGCAAGAGCCAGTTCTGGGATTTGAACTCAGGGCCTGGGCACTATCCCTGTGCTCTTCAGCTCAAAGCGAGCGCTCTACCGCTTGAGCCGCAGCGCCGCTTCCAGTTTTCTGGTGGTTCATGGGAGATCAGAGTCTCATGGACTTTCCTGCCCGGGCTGGCTTCGAACCGCGATCCTCAGATCTCAGCCTCCTGAGTAGCTGGGGTGACAGGCGTGAGCTGCTAGCACCTGATCATCAGCACTTGGTTTGAGTCACGGTCAGCCTGGTCAGCCTGGAGCCCCCTCCCCTGCTGGGCCGCGCCCCCCCCAGCCCCTCACCTGGCCGCAGCGGCCGTTCTGCAGGGGGCTCGGGCTGCGGTCCCCCCCGGGCTCCTGGGCCTTGGCGGGCAGGGCTGCCCTGTCCTGCACTCTGTGGATCTGCGGCACAGGGACAGGGGCGTCAGCGTCGGAGGAGACAGGTGCATTCGGCCCCTCCCTTAATAAGCTTTAGAACCACGCAGGGCCCTGTGGGCTGCTGGGTGGACTTGACCCTGAGAGGGTAAGAGCTCTGGATGGCCGCAGAGCAGGGAGGGAGGGAGGGAGGGAGGGAGGGACTTGGCGCTCACAGGTGCCCTCTAGTGGCGGAGGCGAGGAGACAGGGCAGGGTGGGGAGCGGGGAAGGTGACTGAAGGTCAGCACTGGGCTCAGCTGAAAGGGGGTGGAGATGTGAGAGAGCGTGAGCAGGTCCTGGAACCTGCAGTCCCCCCGCCCGGGCCTCCTGTGGGCTGGGATTACAGGCATGCGCCACCAGGCCCACGTCCTCTCCTCCCCTGGGAGCACGGGCAGCCGGGCCCTGCCACCGCCCCCCCAGCACCGTGGATTGGGGGGTGCTCGGCCCCCACTTGGTCCGGGTCACAGGTCTCTCACCAGCTCCAGCATCTCCTGCAGCTGGACCAGCATTTCCTGTGCGCAGTGTTTGCTCTGCCTCAGTTTCCCTATAGAGTGCTCGTAGGCCAGATGGCGGATCCTGGATGACAGGGAGGCCAGGCGGACAAGGTAGCCCTGCTGGCGTCTCTGCTCCTCCGTGGAGGCCGCCTCCGCCGCCTCGGCCTCCGCCACCGCCGGGCCCTGGGCCTTGGCCTCCAGAGCCTCTGGGGAGGAGCACAGCAGGGGTCAGCATGGCCACCCCTCCCCCTCTGTGCTCACCCTCAACTCCCTGTTCTCAACACCAGCTGCAACTTGCAGATGAGGGAAACTGAGGCACCGAGCTCAAATCCCACACGGTGCCTTGAGGAGATCCAGGGTTTGGACCCGTAGCTATGTTGTGCCATTTAGACAGCCGTGTGTGTGTGTGTGTGTGTGTGTGTGTGTGTGTGTGTGTGTCAGACAGGTGTGGAAGTGGCTCCCTATGGTGCTGTGTGGCCTTCTGCCTGTGGTAAACCTCTCTGGTCCGGCCACACCCCCACCCCTCCACCCATGGCTGCATGGGAAGGTATCAGGCCCTGGCCTCACCACTCGTCGGGGGCAGCAAGTGGTCCACCAGCTCCTCAGACTTGCCCAGCACCACGTCCAGGGCGTGGCTCACCGAGCGCCGCAGCTCCACGCTCCACCGCCGGCCCCGCTGGGCCAGGCCAGTCACCCCGCTGACCCCGCTGACCACCGTGTCCCTGGCCGAGGTCAGCACCTGGCGGGAAGTAGAGCCACTGCGGGCGCTGCAGGCCGGCAGCCCTGCCAACCTCAGCTACCGGGGCCGGGCCCTAAAAGCCCCTTCCCGCCTCTGTGCCTCAGTTTCCCCTCTATCAAATGATGGGGAGATAGAACCCTCCCTGTGGGGGGGGGAGTGTGGGTACGTGTGGAGGCTGCCTCTGGCTGTTGATGTTTCTCTTTTCTTCTGAGCAGGGGCTTGGCCCCCTCCCCTGCCTAGACTTGGGGAGGGGTGACCCCTCCGCAGGGTCCCCACCAGCTGGTCATCCAGGTACCGTGTCCGAAGGTTGCTGGAGGAAGGGCAGCTTCTCCTCCAGCTTGTCCAGGCCTCTGCAGGCCAGGTGGTTCACTGTGGCTACTGGGGAGAGAAGGGAAGTTGGGGGTACATGGGGTGATCGGAGGGAGGGAGGGAGTGGGGGGCTAGAGAGGCGACACCCCAGCCCCGGCCATGGACAGCGGTCCCCAGAGGTGGGCCAGTCTTCGGAGGAACCCCGCCCCCCCATTCTCCAGCAGCTACAGAGCGGCTGGACACACAGCAGGGCCATGGGGGGGGACAGGGAGCCCGGGGCCTCCCCTCCATACGCCGTTCCCTGGTGATCCTGACCCCCCAGAGCCTGCCCTGTCCCCTGCCTCTGCCCTGCTGCCCAGCTCAGCCTCCAAGGTGACCCCCGAGCCCCACCCAGATCCGATGACCTCAGGGAAGCGCAAGGTCCCAGGAGCCACTGGGAAGGGGCTGGAGGGGTCTCAGGTCGGAACTCTCGAGTGATTTGATTCCTCAGTCAGACAGGAGCCCTGAACCTTCTTCCCCTCACCCAGCAGGCTAGACCCCTGTGCGAGTAGACAGGGCTAAGCTGTGAGGTTCAGGACCAGCATAAGGACGGGAGGGGTGGCACAAAGGGACCTAAGCGATGTTGGACCAAAGGAGGGAGGCAGGCTGGGAAGGTGGCTCAGTGGTAGAGTGCTTGCCTAGCATGCAGAAGCCCTGGGTTCCATTCCTTAGCACCACATACACAGAAATGGCTGGAAGTCGCTCAGGTGGTAGAGTGCTAGCCTTGAGCCAAAGAAGCTCAGGGACAATGCCCAGGCCCTGAGTTCAAGCCCCAGGACTGGAAAAAAGAAAAGGTGGGTGGGGGGAGGCAGAGGGGAGAGGACCAGAGAAGAGAGGCCACAATTCAGCAGGTGATGGCGTAAGGCCAGCTGAGCAGATTTAAAGAGGTGCAAGACAAGGAAAGAGATGGAGGTGTCGAGGGTGGGGTGGGGTGTCTGCAGGAGGGCACACAGGAAGTACAATTTTGGGGGGGTCTGGTCATGGGGCCTGAACTCTGGGTCTGGGCACTGTCCCTCAGCTCTTCAGCTCAAGGCTAGCGCTCTACCACTTGAGCCACAGCGCCACTTCCGGCTTTTTTCTTTTTGCTTATGTGGTGCTGAGGAATCGAACCCAGGGCCTCAGGCATGTAAGGCAAGCGCTCTACCACTGAGCCACCTTCCCAGCCCCAGGAAGTACATTAAAGATAGTTGTATCCTGTAATCCCAGCTACTCCGGAGGCAACGATCGAGAGGATCAAGGTGCAAGGCCAGCCCAGACAAAGAGCTCCCCATCTCCACCAACAAGCGGGGCATGTGGTAGGCTATAGTTATCATCCCAGCTGTTATGAGGAGATGTAGGTGGGAGGAACTCTGTTCTTTCCCAGGCCAAGCCCTGGGCAAAACAAAAACAGGAGACTCTGTCCCCAAAATAACGAAGGCAAAAAGGGCTGGGGCACATGGCTCAAGTGGTAAAGCACCTGCACATCAAATGCAAGGTCCAGAGCTGGAATCCCAGCGAGAAGGGTAGGCAGGAGGATGGGCTGAGGTCGTACTGGGCAGCAAGGGGGGGGTGACCCAGGAACACAAGCTGGGGACTCACGCTGGGGCTGCAGGTGGTCAAGCAGCGGCTGGGCATGGTCTAGTGCTCTGGTGGTCAGACCGCACACGCAGTGCTCAGCCAGGCGGCAGGCAGAGCCCAGCACCCCGTGCCGGTCCTTGGTGGAGCAGTAGGCATCAGAGACGGCCCTGACCAGGGGCAGGGCTGCCACACGCTGTACCACGTTCTGTGGGAGGGAGTGGGTATCAGAGAGGCACCTGGGAGAGGCAGGGGGTGGCTTGGAGGCCCCAGGCCTGCTGGTCCTCTCTCCCAGCCAGATGTGTGGGGAGGAATGGAGGAGTTAGGGAGATGCACACAGAAGGATTGGGGGGGCATACTGGCTGTCAGTCCTGTGCACAAGGTTAAAAGTTTTGACATGAAAGCTGGACGCCGGTGGCTCATGCCTAGCTACTCAGGAGGCTGAGATCTGAGGATCATGGTTCAAGGTCAACCTGGGTAGAAAAGGCCCTGTTGAGACCCTCATCTCCAATTAAACAAAACAAAAATTGGAAGTGGAGCTGTGGCTCAAACTGGTAGAGCGCTGTCCTTGAGCAAGAGCTCAGGGACAACATCCAGGACCTTGAGTTCAAACCCCACAACCAATAGGAAAAAAAAAAAAAGGGTCTAGGAAGATGGCTCCATGGTAGAGCGCTTGCCTTGCATGCACGAGGCCCTGGGTTGGATTCCTCAGCACCACATAAGCAAAATGAAAAAAGCCGGAAGTTGCGCTGTGGCTCAAGTGGTAGAGTGCTAGCCTTGAGCTGAAGAGCTGAGGGACGGCGTCCAGGCCCAGAATTCAGGCCCCACAACTGGACCCCCCCAAAAAAAAGTTCAGATATAAAATCAGGCACCTGTAGCTCACACCTGTAATGCTAGTCAGGAGGCTGAAATCTGAGAACCAGGGTTCAAAGCCAGCCTGGGCAGGAAAGTCTCTGAGACTCTTATCTCCAATGAATCACCAAAAACAAAAACAAAAAATCAACAACAACAACAAAAAAAGCCCAAAGTGGCTCTGTGGCTCAGCACTGGCCTTGAATGAGAAAGCTCAGAGACAGCACTCAGACTCTGAGTTCAAGCCACAGACAGACAGACAGACAGACAGACAGACAGACACACACACACACCCCACACTGTGACGTGATTGCTCGGGGATGGGACATCAATCGATTGATCTAGAATGCAGCTTCTAGACACGGTGGCCGGGGGTGGACTCTGCTTGGGCTGTCCGTCCCAGCCCCGGGACATGTCAGAATCACAGGTGGACACGGGGCCGGCCTGGCTGGAAGCTGTGCCATGTGGGGGGAGGGGGGTCACTCACCTGCTGCTCCTGCTCAGAGCTGGGTCTGGGGTCCTGCGTGGCCGCCGCGTGGTCAGACATGGTAGACACGCAGGCTCACCCTGCGGGGAGGAGACCCTAGCGAGCCGCCCTTCCACCCGCCTCCCGAGGCCCCCAAGGGGGGGACTTCAGCGCCTGGGGGGAGACTTCAGCGCCTGGGGGGGACTTCAGCGCCTGGGGGGGACTTCAGCACCTGGGGGGACTTCAGCGCCTGGGGGGCGGGGTGACCCGGTTGCGGGGTGACCCCTGTCTCCCCCTTGCCCTGCTGTGTGAGTCTGGGGACACGCCTTCGCCCCTCTGGGCTGTGTCCCCTGGTGGCTGGGGACGGGCCTCCACGCGTGGGGAGCTGCAGACCCCGGGCAGCCCCCCTTGGATAGGCAGGGAAACTGAGGCACGCGGCCAGCCCAGCCGCTGGGTCCAAGGTCACCCGGCCCGGCGGGGCGAGGGGCGGGGGACGGGGCCGCCCGCCCTCGGAGCCCTGGG